ATTCATGATAAAAAGTAATTTCCAAATCAACTAACAGATCGTTTAATTTATTGATTTATAAGGAAACATGTCTTTTATGGAGTACAATATCCTACTTGTATATAATTCATGTCTACTAAAAATACACAGATCCGTTTTTTACATAAATATATGAGTACTGTTGTTCATTATCAAATATCCAGCTCAATGAAGATTTATTCCCAATGTAAAACTGAAAATATTAGATTGCATCATATTGGGACATGAATGTTAGTGCATTTACATCAGTATACTCAACATCCGTTTATCCTTATGTTCCTTTCCCATAAAACTTTTTATATATTGAAATATTGCTTCATTCGATTTTTGATCAAAATATACAACACCAAATCATGTGAACATCTTATTATGCCCCATACTGAGTAAAGTTTAAACGGGGGTCATAGGAAATCTTGATCTGAAATATTAACTAAAGTCTGTTACTATGTAAATGAAGAAAAAAAACACAACTTCCTGATAAATTAAAGACAAGAATTGTAGCACGTGTCGATAAATTATTCAACTAAAGTTCAGATTTACATTCCGTGTATATCATAATCTACTAATTAGTTAAAATTTCACAATTAAATACATCTGTCGTATTAATTCTCAAATATTTTCACCAGTTTATGTTGCCAAGGCTATAGATTTTCATCCATATCACCTCTTACATTTAATGATGTAATAAAGATAAATCAATGTCACAGTACACTAATTTCCCTTAAATTAAATCAAACATGGTAAAAACGAACATAAGAAGAAAGTTAGTTTTACATAATTTTTCCATACCTGATTTCATTTCAATTTTTCTTTTAAAAAAAAGAGAAGGATTCAATGAGATAATTTCTGGAAATTACGTCATCGTTTGCTTAGTCGTTTACTCATTACTTTTGGATAAATAAAATTATGAAATTATCTGTAACAGATTGAAGAGAAGAATTTGGGATCATAAAAACAAATCACGAGAACAGTTACTACGATGAATGGATTATGATTAAATGTAATACAATGTTATTTATTGCATGTATGAAGCTAGTGAACTTGTTGAATATACTTTCTACTAATCCGATTAGATTTATTGAATTTAACTTTCATAGGAAATAAATATTCTATTAAGACATCTTAGGGTATTGACGAAATACTATGTTGATGTTAGTGCAATGATATCTGTTAGAGTTTAAATGTATTGTATTGTCTTAGTGTAATGATTTGAACATGATATTATATTGCCCTGAAATTATCATGTTATTGGACATTCAAGTACAACAAACTAGAGTAATAAGCTATTTATACAGTTCACCTTCATGAAAAGAAACAGATTTTGTAGAACAAAAATAAAAGACTTTAACATTCATATTAGTTGATCTCGAAATAGCGAATAATGTTGTGTTTGTCTAGTCTTCGGTGATAATCAAATTCTGTCAATCAAGTTGCAAGATGACTGGAATTCACATGGACTATGTTTTGATTTTAGATAGTTGAAGATAGTTGGAAGTAAAGCATGAACCTAGTTCACTTGCTGGTTGCTGATCGTCAACAAACAGAATATCCTTCCAAATATCTGTAAGTACCTAACGACTTCACATTCAATAGTTTACTTCGACAACTAGTCTCTTAGAAAAATCCCTTTCAATGAATAAATGCTGAATGTCAAATTAACGCGAGTAATATTTATTTTGTTTTGTTATATATATTGCGGGGACTTGTTCAATCTGAAGATATTTTTCGTTATGTGCTAGTATCAGCTGACAAAAAAACTGTGAATTAAACAGCAATGAAAATTTATTTTATCCTAATTTAAAACACCACGATACTATTTATTTCCCCTAAAAAAAACAACAATTTGTGTACACTGTAAATTCGCCAGAAATATAGTCGAAATTCATAACAATATACAAATAGTGAAAATTTACAACTTTAAATCATTCGCACAAATCACTGTTGAGACACTCAGTACAATCTACCAATCTTTTACTAATTATAATAAGTTGAACTTTATATCTAACTTAAGAATGGAATGTATTCAGTCAAAAAGCATCCTAGATCGGATCTTCAGGTTATTTATCAAGTATTTGAGTTCAGAAATACAAGAAATAATTAGTGATTATACATTCATTCATTCTAATTTGACTGTTAAAGATTTCTCTTGACAATTGAATAAATCATCAACCAACTTAGTGTTGTTCGTTTCATTTTAAAATATTTGATTTAACAATTAAAGTAATGAAATAAATTTGATTCTCTATCATATGAAAACTATCCCCAACACTTATTGACATAAAACTAAAAGTCATGTGAAATTAAATCGAGTAGCCCAGTCTAAAAATGTTATAACAAACGAATGGACGAAGATTCATTGTCTGTTAGTTAAAAAATGGGTAGAAACTAGTTTTTATATGTATTACATAATATTCTGACCAGAACCATTTTAAACAATTGTACTATTTAAAAAACAGTAAAAACTTTTTACGAGTATAGGGGCTGTGGAGATTATTAAGTTTTTGATTGAGATCATAAACCGATTGATGTTAGACCACCTTTGGAAACCTGGAAGCACTGTACGGCCGTTTCGTCCTATTGTGGAACTCCTCAGCAGTGTGCATCCACGATCCCCGCTCGCGAGATTCGTTGATAATAGGCACAATCACCATTGGATTCCGACTCAGTGGTCCAAAGGCCCTGGGTTCGGCCCAGGTTTTCAAAAGTGGTTTAACATCAATCGGTTTATGATCTCAATCAAAAACTTTTTTTAAATTAACAGTTACCAATAACTAATCTTTCTATGTAAAAATTGTGATTAATATGTTTTACATTACTAAGTATGGATTTGATAGTTGTAAAATACAGTACCTGATAAATAATTCATTTTCTTTTCTTGACGAAATCATTTACTTAGGCTGTACATTCGTATTTAAGTTGGTTGGTAAATATATAAGTATCAGAAGGGGTTTTTTGTGGAGATTTCAGTAATTTTAATAGTTGAAATCATGAGTCAATTGAAGCTAGACCACCATGGAAAATCTGGAATAACTGGACGGCGTTTCACCCTAGTATAGGACTCCTCGGCAGTGCACATCTACGATCCCGCTTACGGGACTCAAACCCAGGACATTCGGTCTTGTACGCGAACGCTTAAACTCTAGACCATCGGGCCTGCAGCCAACGGTGTTGATGTCCAAATTCAACCAATCAACTAAACTTCTCGACCATCTTCGATTGTCTGAGGTAGTTACCTGTTTGTAGCTAACATGGGTTAGCTCCACTGGTTACGGCCTCTCACTAGAACTCCGAGGGGTTAAGCGTTCGCGCGCGAGAATGAAGATCATGTGTTAGAATCCCGCGAATGGGATCGTGGATGCACACTGCTGCGGAGGCCCATAATAGGACTAAACCACTGTCAAGTGCTTCCAGGTTTTCTATGATGGTCTGAAATCAGTCGATTCGTGATCTCAATTAAAATTTATTTGTATTATCATCATTCCAGTTAGATATGTTATTCACTGACTAATCATTAAATCGCAGTAAATATTTTTCTGAATGTAAATCTATGCAATTAGTTATTTGAAAGGTAAATGAATTCTTCATTTCGTCATACATCTTTGTCTACTTCATTCAGTCGTGTAAATCTCACCGATTTTTTTCCAGCTTCAAATCTCAGTCTACGTAGTTATAACAAAGAAAAGGTACAGAAAACTTGGTAGTGAAAACAACACTGCCACTAGTTAACAACAATAGAACTAATCTATTATATTTCTTGTTTATAGGAGTAAGTTCACCAAAAGAGATTAATCCTACTGCGCTCCTTGAGAGAATGCTTTGTATCTATTTTTAATACTTTTATAGCAATACTATCTTATTATTATTATAATACTTCTTTGCGTCGCCTACATCATGCTCCCATGATGAATTTTCCTGACGAAAAATTACATTTTTAATGTACCGTACGTTAGTAACAACTGATATTAATAGAAGAATATGTTTATTCTCTTTTTAATCTTTTTAGAAAAAGAAAATGTCTCATATTTCAAATGGATTCATCTGGGAGGGGTGGATTGTTCATTGAATAATTGAACATAAGAAAAAGGTTTTAGCATAGGATTCGTGTTAGTTGAGTGACTACCACAAAAAATAAAATTGGAAGAACTAAATAGATATTTTATGACAATACAGAATATTTTAACGATCAACTTGAAGTTGAAAGTAATCCATTCAATCATGAAATAAGTATCTTACACATTGAAAAAATCACTGGATATTTTGATTATGTAGTGTACAGGAGATAATATGTTTGGCATTTCGAAGGACAGCTATTGAATTTCAGCCACTGTATGAACATCATTACTAGGATAAAGGTACATGTGGTGTTTGTATGAACTAACGATTCTTTTGTACTTGTTGAATGCTTGATTTCGAATTCCAAATACAATACGTTTCGTTGTGCTTATGTAATACTTCTTCGTTAAATTGAGTTATTTCTGGGATTATTAGTTTATACTATAATTCAAATACTTCTAATTATCACAGTACATCCAATTGATAAGATATAAATAAAAAGAAATACATGTCCTAAACTTTATTGGTAGCTACAAACCATCTACTCTAACTAAGTAGAGAATTAATGTTTCACAGATTATACAATAACTTCCAGTTGCTTAATTGCAATTCAGTAGTTTATATTTTTTTCGATCTAACCTAAAATTTCATCATCCATTTCTTAAATACCAGTAAAATCATCTTCTTTAAGATCTTATATTAGAATTCTATAAAATTCACTTCGAATTAAATTATAGTTACTAGTATTTTTCACAAAACTATAGACTTTTATTAGAGGACTGATTTCATTCATGATTAAATGACGCGTAAAACTAATATGACATAATGAAAGACAATCTCAACCAATCATTTGATAAGTTAAACGGGAAAAACGAACCTACAAAAGAAAAACAGTTTTGTGCACGAGGATACATTTCTGCATATATGCATCACTCACACAGTATAGAAAGTGCACAACTCACGGAAGAAGAAGAAGAAGAAGAAGAAGAATATGATGATGATGATGATGATGATGATGATGATGATGATGATGATGATGATGATGATGATGATGATGATGATGATGATGATGATGATGATGATGATGATGATGATGATGATGATGATGATGATGATGATGATGATGATGATGATGATGATGATGATGATGATGATGATGATGATGATGATGATGATGATGATGATGATGATGATGATGATGATGATGATGATGATGATGATGATGATGATGATGATGATGATGATGATGATGATGATGATGATGATGATGATGATGATGATGATGATGATGATGATGATGATGATGATGATGATGATGATGATGATGATGATGATGATGATGATGATGATGATGATGATGATGATGATGATGATGATGATGATGATGATGATGATGATGATGATGATGATGATGATGATGATGATGATGATGATGATGATGATGATGATGATGATGATGATGATGATGATGATGATGATGATGATGATGATGATGATGATGATGATGATGATGATGATGATGATGATGATGATGATGATGATGATGATGATGATGATGATGATGATGATGATGATGATGATGATGATGATGATGATGATGATGATGATGATGATGATGATGATGATGATGATGATGATGATGATGATGATGATGATGATGATGATGATGATGATGATGATGATGATGATGATGATGATGATGATGATGATGATGATGATGATGATGATGATGATGATGATGATGATGATGATGATGATGATGATGATGATGATGATGATGATGATGATGATGATGATGATGATGATGATGATGATGATGATGATGATGATGATGATGATGATGATGATGATGATGATGATGATGATGATGATGATGATGATGATGATGATGATGATGATGATGATGATGATGATGATGATGATGATGATGATGATGATGATGATGATGATGATGATGATGATGATGATGATGATGATGATGATGATGATGATGATGATGATGATGATGATGATGATGATGATGATGATGATGATGATGATGATGATGATGATGATGATGATGATGATGATGATGATGATGATGATGATGATGATGATGATGATGATGATGATGATGATGATGATGATGATGATGATGATGATGATGATGATGATGATGATGATGATGATGACAATAACTACCTTATTCAATGATAAGTGTTTGATTACGTTCCACTTCAACATATTTTTCATATATATATATATATATATATATATATATATATATATATATATATATATATATATATATATATATCACCTATGTGGATGATGGATCTACTCGAGTTGGATGGTAATATTGTGACCTTCTTAGCTTGCGTCAAAGTCCTATCTCGCAGTTAATATCGAACCTGGTTTACCCTGTATTGGTATCCAGGTACTAAGCCTACTTTGGTGAGTGGGTACAACAAACAGACTCTTACCAAAATAATAGTTTTTATTAGAAGAACAGATTAGAGAATTACAAACTAATGGCGCAGCTTCATAGACCGGTTCATGTCGAGTGATTGACTGATCGGCGTTAGTCATTCTTGACCTTGGTGAAGTTTGAGAAAATAATCAACATTCTGTGGTCTGCCGTGTAATGTAAAGACGGTTCAACTTGATCGATGGTTTGACTAGGCCTCAAAGACATTTCACTGGCCCTACATATATTTTGCCAATGCTTATCTGTCATTCATCTCCAAGCCTTAAATGTCTTTGTTCGTTTCATCACCGCATAAATTTCAACGTATTTTCCTTCCATTTTTCTAAAGAATAGACAATAAGATAAATATACCAGCCATTATAGGAATTCTACTTGGCACCAAATAAAACATACTTTCTTATGTAAAATAAAATATGATTCAATAAAAAAAACATTGATAATACGATCATATTTGATAACTTTCACGTAAAGTGTGAAATAGAATTCCGTCAGTTCAGTTTACAAATCCAATCTTAATGAAAACATTAAATGGATAGTAGTGTAACCATAAAAGTGTTTGTATATATGTTGAAAGCAGTAAAGATATTATTTGAAGGTAAATTCAGATAGACAACCTTAAGATATTTGAAGGTAAGCAAAAATATTTAACTAAAATTTCATTGTCACAAATCGATTAAAGTTTAAAAAGCTGTGGATTGTTTTAGAATTTCTATCAATGAATGGATGCCAGATCTAAGCTATCAGGTTTTATCTTGAGTGTGATAGTGTGGAAGTAAACTGTTAAAAGGTTGTAGATTATGACGGAAACTAATATATAAAGTTTTCTAAAAACTATAAACTATTGAACATTTTTGTTTTAATTACTTAAAACCCTGACCACAGCATAATCTTGGTTCAGTTATCCTCAACAATGAGCAGAAAAACTCAAACATATCACTGAGATCAGGCTTAGTGGTTCACTTATTATAGCTAATAATTTTTATATCAACAATATGAGTTGTCAAAGAATCCGATTATTATAAGTCCAGTTCAAACTGTGTCGGGTGTGAGATAGTTATCCTCAGGAAATGGATGAAGAGTTGCACGGTACGATGAATTGACTTAGGTCAGACGTTGAAACCATCGGACGCCGACACACTGGTCTAGAGGTTAGGCGTTAAAGCACGAGACTGAGGATCTTGTGCTCGATTATCGCATGCGAGATCGTAGGTGTGCATTACTGCGGAGTCCAATGCAAGGACGAAACAATCGTTCGGAGCCTACAGGCTTCTGACAGTAATCTAGTTAAGTTCTTGATTCCAATTATGATAATATCGTTGAATATATTTATATGTTTTTCTCAAACGTAGGCCAAGATCAGTAATATTATTTACTAAGAGAACTGTAGCTTTAGCATCTAAACCATTAAAAACAGATTTAGGATTCCACTCACCACAAACCAGTAGTTCCGTTAGACAAGTGATCATTTTTATCACTAAAACTCTGTTGCGTTTTGACGGAAACACTGTTAAAGGTCGTTCGATTTTAGTCTGACCTCTACACCGAGCCATACAATCTAGTAATCTATTATAATATATATGAACTCAAATATTAAATCAAGCGAGTTACATATACAAACTTTCATCATGTTTTAGTTGAAGTTCGGACAAACTCTATGAATTAATACGAGTAGCAGTCAATTAAATAATCATCTACATTGAAGATGTCATCGTAATAAGGAAATCAGTTTAATTAGTCACAGTTTCCCACTAGTATCTTACATTCAAAAATCATTATGTTTACTGTACGATAATCGAATTTCTTAAAATCATTACAGTATCATAAAACATTGAAATCTGGTCATTACATGCCTAAATTAAATCCACTGAATGGAAATCAAATTGAACCATGTTAATAACATCATTTACTAAAACTTAAATGTAAAATGTTTAATTTCCTTCTAAGATCATTTTGAATGATCTAATCTCTAATACCCTTTTATACAGACTACTAAAACATCTTGCAGACCCTAGTTTTCATATCTTTTTTTTCTAAAGTTATTAATTTTTTTGTTAACCTCCAACAATTATGGTTGTTGTTTGAAAATATTTAAAAATTAATATTAGTTAAGTGTTATATTTCAATCATATTTTGTTTTAGACAATTCAAGTGGATTTCAATGTGTTACCATGACAATGAGAATGACTTTATAAAAAAATTATAATCTCATCATTTCATTTTATTTCATTCCCTCATCCTAACTAGAGAGAGGGAGAGAGAGACATACATATGTATATGTACCAGTTAGATATTTAATCCCATTACTCAACAGCATTACGTAATAGTTTATGAATTCAATTTCTTTTTGTTTCTGATTGAATCCAATTTGATTTATCTGATTTCTGTAAAATTAATAAAACACAATAATTCTACTTGAGATATAAAATATGTGTGAAATTATTTTTTTTTTTGAAAATAATAAATAAGATCTCATCTAAATTCTATGTAAACCAACCAATTGGCAGTGAATCAATATTCGATTTTCTAACCTTTAGCTTTCTAAGTGACAAATTTTGGGATGCAATTCCTGGAGTTCTCATGAAAAGCCGTAAATAGTGCAGTTTAACTATGTTGGATGTAAGATAGTTAATCACGGCATGCAACAGAAGACGGTTGGGAAGCATAAAAAAATAACCAAAGTTGGAGATGTATACCAATGGATCTCACTTCATTTGTCCAGAAATTTAGTGTTATTAGCATGATCAAAGATCCTGGGTTTGATCCGCTGTGGTGGGATTAAGGATGATTTCTGTTAGAGAGTCTCACATTGAGATTAAGCAGAAGTTCGATGCCTCCTAGTTGTCAGTGGTTGTCTATCTAAGATAAGTTCTCAATCTAAACTGTGGGAACGGAATTGGGTTAATCAACACTAATTGTGTTATCGTCGTACTCAGTGACTAAACGTCGTATAGGTGTTACAAATGTTTTATATTCTACATCATGAACTTTGTTCGAACAACCGTTAAAAACTAGAAAGTTTTGGATAGTTCTTTAGAGTTAGTATAGGACTTTTCAACAGTTAATATTCATGACCACAGTTATCTGGGTTTGAGTAGAAGAGATAATTAACTACAGTTCCACAAAAATCGATATTGATCAGACTGATCATATTAATATTCGTTGGGATTATACCAATCACATGAGTCAACCTGTGTCACATGTCCATCCCATATATTATAAAATACTATAAAAACTAAGGCGATTTACCATAGGATCAAATGATGAGTAAAGCCATTATCACAATTTAGCTAATGAATTCAACTGCCTACTCTCACTGTTTCATTGTCAAATGTTCAGGAAAAGCTGACAATCCCATTTAAGGAATGATAAATTATGAATCAGTAGCTGATTGGTATTTTCGCCCTAAATCAGGAATAATGAACTTTTTCTTTCCAGTGATAATGTTTGTCAACATGACATGAATACCACATAATTACCCTTGTAAACAATTTACAACTGCATTGTTGATAAGTCTCAAAACAAGAGTAAGTACAAAACTAATGTTCAATAGCAGCACTTTCGGTCAACCTACGACCTATCTTAGAAACTTCTTAGAACATTTGTGAATGCGTTCTTGTTCAAATTAGGGATTTGATACATATTTCTTCAATTTAAATCTAAACTGAGATCACCTGATAAACAACTGAAATTCAGAACATGGTGGACAAATGTTTCGTTCTAATTGAAGACTTTTCAGAGGTGCATACTAACAATTTTATACGATATTGAACCATAGATGTTTAGGTCGTGTGGCAATTGTGATATCTTTAAAGCGCAGAATTAGAATCCAGTTGCCTATAAATTACAAATCAATTAGCATAATTTGAACACAAATAAGGATTAATCAAGCATGACATTAGTTACTGCCCACTTATTAATCATTCTGAATACTTTAGTCTTACAGGTCGCTCAAGGCCATAATAGTCCAGAAACAACATTTCAAATTATTAAACTGGGAGATACCGGTTTGAATAAAAAAATGCATGATTTCTCTAAAGACTGAAGGTACACCTTAATGACGAATATTAACTGACACGAATCTTATGTAAGGTGTTTCCTTCTGACTATCCTGAACCACATATCATCTGAGCGCTATAAATTATAAGTTGAAAGTATTGATTTTATGGTCTTTTAAGGTTTTACAGTAGCATTTGAAGTGAAATCATAACCAGCAGAACAGTAGGGGTGAATGTTTTATGTTTGATAATTTATTCATTTACTACTAATTAGAGATGAAAAGAATAACAACTTATGGTTTAGGTTAGCATAGTAACCATACAGTATGACATAGAAACGTAAACTCGGATTTGTTATCATTTACCCTGTTTTAATGCACTGTTCAACTGAGTTTCAGAAATAGTTACTAAGATACAGTAAGAGCTATGAGTTATTCAAATATATTATAATGATTACAATTGATTAATACGGAAACGAATTTTATCACATACCGATATTAACCACAGATCTGCTCAAAACCATTTAATAATGATTAATAGGTGTTCATTAATTTTTGAAAGCTCCTTACATATAGGAACACCAATCCACACACGAAAAATCTTACGGAGTCTAACTCATACTGTTGACATGGTAATATTATCTCACTCAATCATATTCAAATCACCCCAAACTCTCAAATCTAGTCGACCCATGATATGATTCGATGACTGTCATCTGATTTTGTTGGTGAGTGAATCTCTCACTTCCAACTGCCATTAATTTTATTACACCATCACGTTGATGTAAAAATAATGCTTAATTCAACAAAATAGTCATTTTTCTAGATATAATTGGGAATTGATCTGAAATCGACACCACGTTTTTTTACAGTGTTGCTATTTTTAAACTGATTAATTAAAGCCACCTTTGCAAATCAATAGGTAGTAACTCAATGATCTAAATGTAATGCACCTACTACGAAAAATTATTCTGGTAATTTTGTGGGTGTACATCATTGCTATGGTGTTTGAAAACTCGACAGAACACTTGTCCATAGATGAATTATACTCATAAAATCAATTGGTTCACAATTAAATGTTGTTTAGTGACAATAGTTTACTTTCAGTTTTGAAACTAAAAGAGAATGGTAAATAAATAATAAGTTAAATATTATAACTTGATATTTACTGAACAACGATGTACATTATTACACCATCGGATTTAATAGTGTGGACAACGATGTTTGAAAAGTTTTTCAAAGATTACAGTGTTACAGTAATCCGTGAAATGCCAAATGTCAGTTATTGTTAGTTATGAATTTCCTAACTAATACAAGTAATATTCAGTATAAGTTTTCATAGACTGAGTCGTCGTTATATACTGAAAATAGAATAAGTTATGACACATATCGAAAAGTCATTCACCAGTCGTAGTGAAAACAAATAAGTTATTCGTGTTGTAATTTCCATCTAAAGGATAGATGAACTGTGGCTAGAAATGAATTTCAGTATACACGTCACTTTCCGTTCATTACTTGTTACGTGGACATACATGCTTACTTACTTACTTACTTATTTACGCCTGTTACTCCTAATGGAGCATAGGCCGCCGACCATCATTCTCCAACCCACTCTGTCCTGGGCCTTCTTTTCTAGTTCCATCCAATTCTTGTTCATTCTTCTCATGTCTATTTCCATTTCCCGGCGTAATGTGTTCTTTGGTCTTCCTCTTTTCCTTTGGCCTTCAGGATTCCATGTGAGGGCTTGTCTTGTGACGCAGTTGGGTGCTTTCCTCAATGTGTGTCCTATCCACTTCCAACGCTTCTTCGTGATTTCTTCCTCAGCTGGGATCTGGTTTGTTCTCTCCCATAGTAGGTTGTTGCTAATAGTGTCCGGCCAACGGATCTGAAGTATCTTGCGTAGACAACTGTTAATAAACACCTGTATTTTCTGGATGATGGCTTTCGTAGTTCTCCAGGTTTCTGCCCCATACAGTAGAACCGTCTTGACATTTGTATTGAAAATCCTGACCTTGGTGTTGGTTGACAATTGCTTTGAGTTCCAGATGTTCTCCAGTTGTAAATATGCCGCTCTTGCTTTTCCGATCCGCGCCTTCACATCTGCATCAGATCCACCCTGTTCATCAATGATGCTGCCCAAATATTTAAAGGTTTATACATCTTTCAAAGCTTCTCCATCAGTTGTGACTGGATTGGTGCATGCTGTGTTGTATCGGAGAATCTTACTTTTCTCTTTGTGTATTCTGAGACCTACTGCTGCTAAGGCTGCTGCTATGCTGGTCGTCTCCTTCTGCATTTGTCGTTGCGTTTGGGATAGAAGGGCCAGATCATCTGCGAAGTCTAGATCGTCCAACTGCATCCTAGATGTCCACTGCATCCCATGCTTCCCTTCAGATGTTGACGTCTTCATGATCCAGTCGATCACCAGGAGAAAGGGAAAGGGTGAGAGTAAGCAACCTTGCCTAACACCGGTCTTTACCTCGAACGACTTTGTCAACTGTCCTCCATGCACAATTTTGCAGTGTAATCCATCATATGAATTCCATATGATATTGACTATCTTCTGAGGCACGCCGTAGTGTCGAAGAAGTTTCCATAGTGTTGTTCTGTCCACGCTATCAAATGCCTTTTCGTAGTCAATGAAGTTGATGTAGAGTGATGAATTCCATTCAATTGATTGTTCCACAATGATCCGTAGAGTTGCGATTTGGTCTGTACACGATCTATCCTTACGGAATCCTGCCTGTTGGTCACGAAGTTGGGCGTCTACGCAGTCCTTCATCCTGTTTAACAATACCCTGTTGAAGACTTTTCCCGGTATTGAGAGAAGAGTGATGCCCCTGTAGTTATCACAGTTGCTGAGATCGCCTTTCTTCGGTATTTTGATCAGAAGTCCTTCTTTCCAGTCTTTTGGTACTTGTTCCTCATCCCAAATCTTATTGAAGAGAATGTGGAGTATCCTTGCAGTTGCCGCTACGTCTGCTTTTAGTGCCTCTGCTGGATGTTGTCCGGTCCTGCTGCTTTGCCACTCTTGATTTGTCTGATGGCCATGCTGATTTCTTCAATTGTTGGTGGGCCAACATTGATTGGGAGGTCCGTGGGTGCTGCTTCGATGTTGGGTGGGTTCAGTGGAGCTGGTCGATTCAAGAGTTCTTTGAAGTGTTCTACCCACCTGTTTTGTTGCTCTTCAATGTTGGTGATTACCTCGCCTTCCTTGCTTTTCACTGGTCGTTCTGGTTTGCGGCGATTTCCAGAGAGTTTCTTTGTCGTGTCATACAGTTGTCTCATGTTTCCTTCTCTTGCAGCCTTTTCCGCCGTCG